CCGTCCCCACCCCTAGTTCCAAGCTCAGCTTAATAATCTTAACGAAAATACTTTAGATTCTTTGGAATAGCTGAGCGAGTTATTTAATATTTCATCATACTATAGAATTTACTGTATATTAACTACACGGCAATTTACACCTTCATAAGTACCCGATCATTTATCTTTGTGAAGCAAACTTATTTCTCTGTTCTTCAAATAAACGTTAGCATGGAATCTTGAATCAACAATTATTAATGCTTGCTGAAAATCCTGATGGCAAGAGTGATATATTCTAATATATTTTGTCTGGAGTTATTAGTTACATAGAAGGTTATACACAGAGACTTTATAGATGAGACATACCACTAGAATCTTCGAATAACTCACGTACAGTATCGATTTTATGATTGGGTCAAGTTCACCTTATTAACATATCACGATTGGCATTTTTGTCTCGCGTGCTTATCAACAGAATTGTTAAAAAAACTATTCGTGTAACATGGCGACATTTGATCAAACATGCTTACTAAATTAGGTTAAAACACATATGAGAGGGCGCGTGTGGATAATTTAGATCGTTATCGTGTCAAAAGGTTCATCATTAATAATATATATAAGAAAATAAAGCGTTATTAACGTTTATATTAATGACAAGATGAACACACCAACAAATTTTGGGCAGAAAATACTTATAATAAGATATCCTTTGTACTACTCATTTTTGCCTGAAAAAAAACTTGGCTTTTCTTACACAATGTTTTTTGACGTTTTGCGAAATTATTGAATAAAAAGATCTTGAATTCATAATTAGTAGCAATTTCACACGATTGGTATTGACAATACAGAGCCCGCATAATCATATTTAGTAAAAGGTTTTTATTTCGCGTTTCAAAGTTTGAAAACGAATAGAGATTTAACGTACTTTGAGCCGTTCATCAAGACAGATTGGACATATTTTACATATTTTGATATTGAAGGGTATGTTAACAATAGTCCTGAAGTTAAAGTAGTAATTACGACTTCACAAGTTCTTAGACAACAAGAATAACCTACCTACCAAGTAGAAATACTTAGCAATCAATTTAAAGTAGAAAAGGTAGAATAGGTAACATTTATCGATAGAATGAGTAATGATTCGGGATATATATTTTGCTATAGTTATCGATATTTGATCTTAAAAAATTTCTCGGTCAGATATGCTGCTAATCATGAAATCAACTCAGAAATAATTATTTTCGAATACGTTGCTTGTAAAATCACGAATTCACGTGCCTATTGGCACAAAAGATATATATCCTTTAAGTTGCTAGTTTTTTCTTATCTTTGAAAGTGTTTATGAATTACTTTGGTTTATTAAGAAATTAGCTCCGAAAGAACTTTTTTTTTTTATTAGTATCAAAAATTTTCCTAGATATTGCAGCGCAATTCGATTTTCAATAATTTCAATTATTTCAGTGATGGGCAAATTATTAGGTTACTATGTTTTTTAAATGACCTTGGTCATTTTGACTTGACAGAAATAATGTCATTTGACTTCATTTGACTTCATTTAAAGGTCATTCTCCAACAATGATCTAATGAACGTGCTTGTAATTATTCATTTCATTTATATTTTTAAAAATAAAACTTCAATTTTCGATTAATTTTTTTACATTACTGTACATTGTAATATTTTAACCTCTATTAAGCTAATCTTTTTGATGGTTAAGTCAACAGGTTTGCAGTGAAGGTCATTGCAAGGAATCAATGATTTCTCATTCGTTATGTTTTTAATGCCTTTTGCATCTTCGTCTAACTTGATTTAAAATATGCATAAACGTTTTTTCCAAAAAAGTCGGATTAACATCACCAAAGTTTGTGCTATTTATCATATATTAATATAACTTTATTTATAACGGTAACTAAAAAAAATCTAATTCTTTAACGTCTTATTTCCCTTTTCTAGCCAAAGAATTGTGACCAAGTTGTATTTGAGCGTAATCGTTTCGTATTAGTGCAATTAACCTTAACGTTAATAATAATTATTTATGGAACGCGATTTATTCACTGAATTTGCACAGATATTCTTAATTGATTTGTAGTATTCAATCACAGCCTTATTCTACATGACATATTTATAATAATACTATTCTTTTCTAATTTGCAAAGAAAAGGATCTGGAATTAGTGCTAATATTAATTAACTTTGGTACTTACTTCTACAAATACCTAATTACATACAGGATGCTATTTTGTTAATAAAAAAAAAGAGTATAAAATCAGTCATATTCTGTAACGTGTGGAATTGCCACATGATTAAATTTTTTAAAAATTTTGATAAACTATAAACTATAGTACATATGTTTATTGAGGACTATTTTAGATCTAAAGATAGAAATTAAATGTTAGGTTGGGAGATTGATGGATTATTTTACCCGTAAAATACGATTTCTAATAATAGAAAGTTTAGAAAACCGGTTCGGCAAAGAACTCCGTAAATAAATAAATAGTTTGAACGTTAAAAGGATTAATAGTAATCAGCCAATGCTGTAAAACATAATAATGATGATTGAATTCAAACTTCCATTACATTTTAATTGGTTTAAAATTAAATATTGTTTGTCATATCATTTATTATTTTAAAAAAAAAAAAAATTTTTCATATATAATTAACGTTAATAAATAAAAAAAATTTTTTAACTAAAATATATTTATATATACAGTATATATATATGCATAAAAAAAAAAGGCTATTTAATAGGCGATACGGTATCTACTTACTGAATTCCGAAATTTATAGTAAACAACAATAAAATAAAAAAACGGCGATATCCTTAAACAAAACCCTTTATTGGAATATTTTGAAAGAAGATGCAATTATAAATAAATTCTGTTACCTCGCATTTTCTTTCTAAAATGTTCTGAGATTTAACTTATCAAAATATTTATTATATCAAAACAAACAGTAAAAAATTAACGTTATCTTGCTATATCTCTTTGTTATTTCTTTGTTCAAAAACCAAAAGAAGCAGTCTCCTTTTTGTTTTACGTAAATAATAGACTTGTAGTTGTTTAATTAAATAAATTCTAATTCCTTATTATAATTTTCTTAACAAGTTTTTTTTTTAAATTTTATATCACCCAAATAATATTATTACCGTTTTAGATTGTATTTTATTATTTATTCTTTTTTTTTAAAAAAAATAAAACCGTGTAGCTTCCGCTTTCGTATATTGATTTAGAGCACTAAAAAATATAATGTAGTACTAATAAAAAAGCTAATAACTAAAAATCCAGAATATATATTAATATTTAGATCCTAATTTAGTAATCATATAACGATCATGACGACATCAAATTTAAAAAAAAACGCAAAAAAAAACGCGAAAAAATTAAACAAATATAAAAACATAATAATAAAATTTATAAAATATATTTATTTAATTAAATGTCTATAAATCTAAATAATATAAAGAACGAAAGAACTTTTCTTGTTTTCACTCTAGTTTTGATTAATTGTTTTAAAAGTAGTTGGAATTCACATATTTAATAAAATATCAATGCCTTTTTTTCAAAAATCAACCAGCATCGCGCTTTGGTAAAGTTATTTGAGAAGCGATCTAAAAACAAAGAACTAAAATTCGATTTTACTAGTAATTTTTTTTTTTT